TGGGGAAAGACAGAGAGGGGGGAAAGGGGGGGACTCCGAGGGGGGAGGGACGTGGGGGGGACAAAGAGGGGGGAGTCCGGGGGGGGCTAAGAGCCACTCACCCTCCATGGTGGTGGAAGGCAGCGCAGGCGACATCTGGGGCAGGGGGTCCCCCATGGCGGGCGCGGGAGGGGCCCAGAGGCCTTCGGCAGCCACGCAGCAGCGGCTCGGAGGGCCCGGAGCCCCCCTCGACGCCAGGCCGGCGCTTCCCCGAGGCCCGGGACGACGGGCCGGGGCTCTGGGCCGGGTCTCCGGGCCGGCGGCGGGCAGAGGGAGCGGAGGCCGCGGCGGAGACGGCGACGGCGACGGCGGCTACAAATGTATCCAGCTCAAAGGAAACACCCTGCCCCACGTGACGCGACCGCCTGCTGGGAAAGCCCCGCCCACGTTCTGCCCACGCCCCTTATGCAAATCGAGGGGGCGGAGGGGCGGGGCGCGAGTTCTCGACCCAGGGATTTTTTTTAAAAAGAAGAAGAAAAAAAAAAAAAAAGCGCCGACGACGGACGGGATCCCGTGTCTTGCTGCCGGGCGGGTTCGGACGATGCGCGGTGCATGACGACGCAGCCTCTTCCCGGCCCACGAGTCGGCTCGGGCCGACACGCACGAGGCCGCTCGGAAAGGACCTGAGTCTGCAAGTCGGGCTTAGGCTGCTCGTGGGGATGCGGCTGGTAGGTCCGAACGCGGCTCAAAGCCGCGTGCACCAGCTCTTGCGGTGGGCTAGCCCAGGAATGGCGTGCATGCAACGGGCCGACCCTCACGTGGAAAGACTTGCCAAGTTTCGCGTATTGTGTGAATGCAGCTTTTTAGAATGCTTCGTTGTGATGCCTCGCCGGTCAACCGGTGTCCCCTCCCTGGGCGTACGAATGCTTTTTGGAGGTTGGGCAGCCACTTGTCTGAAATGGTATAAGGCAGGGGTCTTCAAACTTGGCCCTTTGATGACTTGTGGACTTCAACTCCCAGAATTCCTTAGCCAGCGTGCCTGGCTGAGGAATTCTGGGAGTTGAAGTCCACAAGTGATAAAAGGGCCATGTTTGAAGACTCCTGGTATAGGGTCTCCTGCTTGAGAAGAGGGTTGGACTAGAAGACCTCCAAGGTCCCTTCCAGCTCTATTCTGATTGATTGATTGATTGATTGAAATGGTCCAGGGTCTCCTCCTTGAGCAGGGGGTTGGACTAGAAGATCTCCAAGGCCCCTTCCAGCTTTATTCTGATTGAATTGATTTAAATGAGTCCTGTGAAGCAGCCTTTCTTTCTACTGATAAATGATTATTTGGTTTTTTCATTCTGCAGTCGGACGAAGCGTCCTGTGCGACCTTGCAAGCTTGCTGCGTTTTTCGCACCCAGACCTCCCTTGCAGCTGCAAGGTCAGCCTGGCAACGTCTAACAACCTTCCTGGAATAGCTGCCCACTTTGGCCTCACAGTGGGCACCTACCCAGGAATAAATCCTTATTTTGTCAATTATATAACTGCTAGAACTGTGTTTCACGACCGTGACAATTTTACATTGTGTGTACTTCAACTCCCAGGCTGGCTGGGGAATTCTGGGAGTTGAAGTCCACACAACTTAAAAAAGTGGTCAAGGTTGAGAAACACTGCACTAAGCTCCATTGGAAGAGCCTCAAAACGTTTGAAACTACCCACATCCGGGTCTCACTGTACCCCTGACTTCCGCTTCCTTTCACTTCCAGGCTTTTCCTGGCGAGCTAGGCTGCTCCTCTCTATGGTACGCCCACTTGTCTACCTCGGCTTGGCCGCGACGTCGCATCATGTTGGGGCTCCAGAAACCGGAAGTAGGCCTGAACAGATACCGGAAAAAGTGGTTCCGCTCTCGGGAAGTAGTTTCGGCAGATGCCGGAAGAGAAGGCCCCGGCAAACGGCGAGAGCCTAAGATGGCGGAGGTGGTGAGTGCGGAGCGGAGGGAAAAGGAGAGGAGCCGGGGAGGGGACACCGGGGAGGGGGCCTCGAGCGTCCGCCTAATTTCCCCTTTTTGCAGGAGGAAGTGACCGAAGGGTGTAACCTCCCCGTCTTGCGCCGTAACCAAGAAAACGAGGACGAGTGGCGTGAGTAAGGGGGGGCGGGTTTAAGGAGGGAGAGGCGGAGCTTGAGGAGAGGTGGGCGGGGCTTGGGTGGGAGGGAGGGGCCACGTGAAACGGTCCATTGAGACTACAAATCCCATTCAGACTTTGTTGAAGGAAGGGTTTAAAGAGGAGGGGGGAGACTCTCACTGGAGGGGCCCCCAAGATTAGAACCAAGGTAGTGCGGTATAGTGGTGAGAGCACGCTGGACCTCTCTGTTCTTCGTTTAAATCTGGGGTCTTCCAACTTGGCCCTTTTTGTGACTTGCGGACTTCAACTCCCAGAATTCCTCAGTCAGGCATGCTGGCTGAGGAATTCTGGGAGTTGAAGTCCACAATTAGGGGTCTTCCAACTTGGCCCTTTGATGACTTGTGGACTTCAACTCCCAGAATTCCTCAGCCAGCGTGCCTGGCTGAGGAATTCTGGGAGTTGAAGTCCACAAGTCATCAAAGGGCCAAGTTGGAAGACCCCTGATTTAAATGTATTGGCTGACCAATTCCAGTGGGAATTGCACAGTACGGGTGCCCCTTGACTTACGACAGTTCATTTAGTGACAACTCGTAGTTTTAAAATCTTCCATCTGTGCGGTTTTAATATTTTAATCATTCTTCTACTTCTTTTGTATCTTTAAGCTGCCCAGAGTCACCCGATAGGGACGAGGGGCAGCATGAAAAAAAATTAATGAATAAATAAAATACAGTCCTCAATTTGCAACCATTCGTTCAGTGGCCAATTTTACCTCTTAAGCCTGAATTCTTCACATCCTGGTTGTAAAGTGTTTTCTGGGGTACTTCAGAGTTTTCTAAACCTTATCAAGTTTGTTTTCTCTTAAAATAATCTGCTTTCTCTCTTTTCATTTCACAGCACTGGCTGAAATCCTGAGTGTTAAAGACATCAATGGCCGAAAACTTTTCTATGTTCACTATATTGATTGTGAGTACACGAAACAGACGTGGAGCCATTGAATAATTGGGAAGGAAAATATTGCCACGGTCTTTTCCAGATGGAGATTATAGAAGTGAGCGGAGGGCCCTTAGAATCCTATCGGGACCACGATGAAACTGAAGTTAAGATAATTGTTAAGCCCTCGACTTATAACTGTTCATTTAGTGACCGAAGTTACAAGAGCACTGAAAAAGTGACTTACGATCATTTTTCACACCTGTGACCATTGCAGCGTCCCCCGTGGTCACGTGATCAAAATTCAGACGCTTGGCAACTGACTCCTATTTATGACGGTTGTGGTGTCACGTGGTCCTCTTTTGCGACCTCCTGACAAGCAAATTCAAAAGGGAAGCCTGATTCGCTAGTAACTCGGGTTACTAACTTAACAAGCGCAGTGACCCGCTTAACAAGGGCGGCGAGAAAGGTCGTAAAACGGGGCAAAAGTTCACTTAACTGTCTCACAGCGACATAAATTTTAGCCTCCGTTATAGTCGTAAGTTGAGGACTACCTGTTCCCCCCGCCCCAGGAGTGGAAGATTTTTGGCTTGTTATCAAGACATCAGTTCTGGGGTCTAGATCGGTCTTCCCCAGTGAGGCCTTCGCCAGACTGCCCCACACATCTGGAGGACTGGGTGTCAATCTGGGCTTTTGCACTTCGGTCTGTTCCTGGCTATGTGTGTGCTGTTTAGAAAATAAAATATTGAAGCGTAGTCACCTGACAGCTACTATGAGAAGCACAGAAAAGGTTGAAGAATGGAAAGGGGGAAAAAACAAGATATTTATGAATGTCTTGCTGGAGATTTGCTATTTAGGGTAGAACTTGTTTTTTTTTAACTTTATAACAGTTTGGCCGATGAAAGCTTAGTAACTTCTTATTTACAGGCTTGTTTGTATTAAATGGTCTGGCTTATTTTATCCTGGTGTTCGCTTTTCTTTTAATCTGTTTATATATATACATATAAAGTCCCCCAGCCGGCTTTCGTGGCTAAGGCGGGATTAGAACTCACCGTCTCCTGGTGATTGGTTCAAAATCACCCAGCTGGCTTTTGTGCCTAAGGTGGGACTAGAACTCCCTGCCTCCTGGTAATTGGCCCAACATCACCTGGCTGGCTTTCATGCTGAAGTCTGGACTAGAATTCACCGTCTCCTGGTGATTGGCCCAAAGTCACCCAGTCGGCTTTCATGCCTAAGGCAGGAACTAGAAGTCACCGTCTCCTGGTGATTGGCCCAAAGTTACACAACAGGCTTTCATACTAACATGGGACTAGAACTCACTGTCTCCTGGTTCCTAGCCTGATGTCTTAACCCCTATAGTAACCAAACTGGCTCTTTTACCCCCCTTGCTTGACCACTGCGAGCCTTTTCCTAAAGCGGGACTAAACCTCCGTGTCTTTCCTTCACCTCCCAGTTAACAAGCGGCTGGACGAATGGGTCACTCACGACCGGCTGGACCTAAAGAAGATCCAGTTCCCAAAGAAGGAAGCCAAGACCCCCACCAAGAACGGGCTGCCGGGATCCCGGCCCAGCTCCCCGGAGCGTGACGTGGTACGAACTGCGGGCCTTTGGGGGGGAGGGAAGAGGTGTTGACGGGAAGGGCACGCTGGGGAGGAGGTCCTCGGATCGCCTTTAGCCATCCCGGGGGCCGAAGTTCCATCCCACTTGCCCAGGCTGTAACCAACCCAGGTTAGGGAAGCTTCTGCGATGACGTGAGAATGGGGGAAATGGATAGCATTGATGGATTTCTTCTGCTTTTTCTCCCCCACGCCGAGATCTCGGACTGCAGCTTGGTCTGGAGATGGAGGGGCCTCCCCATACGCTCTCTCTCCCCCCAGCCCCGAGCAGGACTCGCGTCCTTTCCCCACCTGTTGGTAATGCCCGTCTTCCTCTCTACTCAGAGGAAGACCTTGGATCTACAACCAGCCACTCCATCCAGCGGTAAAACCCTACCCATCCCGGTGCAGATAACCCTCCGTTTTAACCTATCTAAAGAGAGGGAGGCCATCCCTGGCTCGCCCGACCAAGCCCTCTCCTCCAGCTCCTGCGTCCAGCCAAACCATCGTTCCACGGTACAAAAACTGGCACTCAGCCGCCATGGCTTGTTGCTTTGATGTCTCATTTTTGCTCGGCCCGCTTCTCCAAGAGGCCGCACCAGCTGGGCGGGGTTGAGTTAGGTCTGGGCTGGCAAGGGAGACCTCCGGGGGGAGAGGGAGGGGAAGGTTGCCCAGGAGCGTTGTGGCCTTTCCTTCCAAGCCCCCCCCCCCACACACACACACACTCTTCCCTCCTGAGTCGAGGCAGGGCAGACCATATCCCACCGTAGAACAGAAGAAAACAAGATTTAAAATAGGCCGGACCTGGCTAAAAGCTTGATATTAAGTTTAAACCACAAATGAAAAGTGCTAGGCCAGGGGTAGGCAACCTTGGCTCTTTTATGACTCGTGGACTTCAACTCCCAGAATTCCTGAGCCAGCATGAGGGAAACTTTGGCCCCTTCCTGACTCGTGGACTTCAACTCCCAGAATTCCTGAGCCAGCATGAGGGAAACTTTGGCCCCGTCATGACTCGTGGACTTCAACTCCCAGAATTCCTGAGCCAGCATGAGGGAAACTTTGGCCCCTTCCTGACTCGTGGACTTCAACTCCCAGAATTCCTCAGCCAGC